TCGTTGCTCTGCTTCCTTTCCGTGCTATGTCGCTTCAGACTGATGGCTCAGTACCTTCACGTGATCTTAGTAGTAATTACAAGACTACCGAAGGAAAGCAGTACATGATTATAACGGGGTTTGATTACAGTGATAGCTTCGCACTGGTATAGCAGGACTGATTGTAATGCTTTTTGTTAGCGGTTGCGGTTTCCTAGCAGATCATCTTGTCCTTCTGTTCCATCCTCTCCATCAAATCTTGTTTAAATTATACATATCCATCTACCATGGTCAGTAAATCTGCCTCCTAGTTGTCGTTACGTCTCTATTTGCACAATCTTCCAATCCACTGTGCGGAGTCTTCTATCCTTTCAAGTCTGACATTTCGGAACGAGCGCATGAGAAGGAGCCGGCTCCATAGCGTTCACTTACAGAATTCCATTCTTTTGGGACGAGCGTCTCTGTCGGAAGGGAATTTACGAATTGTCAGCGTCTGGGTTATCAGCGCAGAAGTTTTACTACCAGTCATAGTACTTTCCGTTTTCGACTGTGTTGCTCATTCGTTGCTACGTTCTCTCTACGATCTCTCGCATGCGAGGATTTTTCTTTGTCCTAGTTCTGACTTCGCTTCTTTCCTATGCCGGTTTCTGCGAATTCCCCTGCCTTGCATTGCTCACTCTACCTCTCCCTTCACCTTTATGGGGATAGAGCCATCTCTGTTTTCCTTGAAGGTTCTTTGCAAAGTACTCCGACTTTTTGTTAACTTACCGTTAATACTAGCCGTCTAAACAGTCAGTCATCTTGCCCGACCTGCAACCGACAGCAGTCCTATGATATTCACCAACAATCTCTATGTTCGTATCAGTTCATTTTGTGAGTGTTTAAAGCGAAGAACAGTCGGGATCGTCTTGACGGCAGCTACCACATTCCGCAGACGAAAAGTCGGCAACTCCACCTTTCGATAGCGTGGGTTTGCCGCACGCCGCGTGGGAATTTAGGGTCATTGTGAAAAACGTCTTCTGCAATTCTTCTGGATCAGTAGCTTATCCCCGATGATAAGGGTAACCTTTGCGCGACCTAAGCTGGACCCTGGGTCGTCTATACACAATTTCGCAGTATCTTTATTCTGACCTGATAGATAGGAGAGAACTAACTCACTTATCATCAGTAATTATAAGATCGCCTATTTGAAGATCACTTTTCCCTCTGATGAACATATCCATAAGTGCGGCTTCATCTCGCTTAAACAGCAGTATTAGTTCCCTGAGTCTCATCTCTTTTAGGTATGTATAGAAGCTCAGTGAGGACAACTCTGAACAGCCTTCGTTCTTCACTGACTGCTCCATCGGTGAATCCCTTTCGGAATGGCCCTTACTACCCCAAAAAACCATATTCATTCCGCTCTACACTTGTTTGGGGAACGGTCTAGAAATGGAAGCGCCACTACATCAAGACCTAGACCAGACCCCATATGGAGCTGTAACGGGTTTTATCTCACCTCTAAGTTAATCCTTCCGTCTTCTCCAGCAAGATCCGGTCGTTCTTCTTCGAGAATCCGAGCATTGTACCATGGTGGTTGCTTACGAGGTTTTTGCAAAGCTCCAGACATTGGCTAGGAACCGCATTGACCTCAATCTTCAAAGCTTGGCTTAAAAGAACTTACTTGCTGTTGCTTTCTTTTCTGCGTGAACAGGGGCAAAACATTTTGTCTTGTAGTTTTTGTCACTGCGGAGTCGTCTTCTGACGAATCGGACTGAAAAAGAACATACCATGTGGTAGGCAACCCCCTCATGGACGTATCTTCTCAGCCACTTACCCCGCTGTTATTGAAACGCTCTTTTTTCCTCTGAAACAAGGAACAAAGATTTTTCGGAATCCAAGTGATCAGGAGATGTGTGTAGGAAATGAGGAACCAGGATCTCCCTCCCAAATCCTTCTTACGAGTATGAAAGCAGTGTCCACCCTGAGCGTGCCATTTTTGAATCCTTTTTCAATCAGCCGAATCCCAACAAGAATTATGGATCCATTCAAGGGAAGAACGTAGCCATCTCAGTGACTTCATCCTTGGGCTCAGGATGAACACAGTATTTAAGGAAGCAGCGTGAGACGTACACCCATGGCGGCAGACTGTCGTGGAGCTGTAGTGAGAAATGAGCATTGCTGAGCTCCCACGAGTGAATGTTCCTCATATAAACAACCTAGATAATAGCAGATATAGTAAATAACGTCAGATAAACATTGGATGAGGTGTGTTGGTGCGTTTTTCCGTGGTTATTCTTACATTCATGGGTAGATACTGAAGATGACTGAAGGCAGGTTTTAAGAAAAATGTGAAACTGGTGAACCATTGGCAAGTACTGTTTAGAAAAGAGCATGTCCTTCAACAAATCGAGCGATGCCATTTAGTCGAGTACAAAGTCTCTACCACGGGAGGGACAAAGAGAAAGAATTAGACGGCAAAGCAGTGCTAGAGTGCTAATGCTGCAAAATCCACGTTATGGTTCTATTCCTTGAAGGCACAGTTCACGCTTATTTTGTGGTGACTGTTTTCGTTCGGAAAGCGGAAGTATAGATTGGGAATACATAGTTCATAGGTAGTGAGGAAAACGAAAGAATTCGACGATTTCAAGAAAAATATGGCTTCTAAAAGTAGGGAAAATAGAGGTTGGACGAGATTGCCATGACGGAAATAACATGGAAGGGGTATTCGGACGAAATTTCGGTTATTGCAATTGCACAAATAGCTGAGTACATCAAGCCAGAACTGTACAGAACAGTCTTTCACTATCGCTATGGGTCATGGCAAGTTGTTTGAACTTCCTACATGGACTCCTTTAAATGTCCCTGTATGCAGCCCTAAGTGCAAGTTTGGGCTATGTTATGGGCTGTCATGTCCTGTACAGAGTAATGACCGCATCGGCTAAGTAATTAATCCCTGATGTCCTTAGCTGATTTAGGATGGTAGAAACAACGTTCCCCCGAACGAAATATCACCCGGGTAACAACTCACAGCTTCGCAGATGGCACAATACATGAATGGAACAATTTTCGTGCTATTTCTCTCCGCAACCGTTCATTAAACATACTCGGTAAGGTTCTGTATGGTGCTGTACCGATGTCATCCTTGCATAGAGGAAAGTGTTGTGATGTTGCAATTCGGGCTCCCGATCACGGACGTGACCATCAATAATCCATGACATGATTGGAGCCCTGCGACACATGTAGCAACCTCTGTTGTAATCATTTTTCTCTTTCACTTTTTTTCTCCATAACTTTTCTTCTAAACCCTTTTCTTCGAAGGTTTTTTTTTCAAATGCTAAGACAGTTTTCGTTGCGTTTCAGTTCAAACGGAAGACTCAATGTGGCTGTCCTGCTCCAATTCATTACGGATCATCGTGGTGGAATAGAAATGGGAGTTGGAACATCTCGTCTCGAATACTAAGCGCTGGAGCTTTGGGACGGAGAGGTAGGCGACTTTGCGAGATTGTACTTAGGAAACTTTCTTGACCAAGAAAATATGGCTTCGTACCTGAGCCTCAAAAGGGTAGGAGGCGTGGGTGAGTGTTCTTTTAGCATGCATGAATCGCTTCCAGGCTTAAGTTTACACTTTCGAATAGAAATCACTTAATAGTCAACTGGATGCTCACTGCGACTTCTAGGGTTGAAACGCATTGCTGCTGAATGTCTCAAACTGGACCGAGATAAACGAAATAGAACTTCCTGCAGCTAGCCGCTAGGTGGAACTTGATCATTCCGTTTTTTACCGTCGCACTAATTTTTAGAGACATGAATTTATAAGTATCTGCATGGGGATGATAATCATCCCGTTTTCTTTTTCATGAGAATGTCTTACAAATCGGATTCCTTACGCACAGAGGTATAAAACAGTATCTCCAAGTATCTTGCCCTTGAAAGATGACTAAGTGATATGAATGTGTTTCGTCGGTGAGGTCTCAGAGCACTTTATCAAGCTCATGTTTACCAATGAAGCTTTACTCAAATAGGAGCCCCAGACCTATTCTACAACTCTGTATTTGAATCTTTTGTGAGGGAACTCTCTCTCTACCCTTGTCTAGAGAACATGCTGATTTCGAGTATAGGTTTTGGGTTCGAGTTTCGAGTATAAGTATAACTTGTAGAAAACAGCGATTCAAAGAGCTTCAGCAAATCCGACATGCTTATCTGCGTAGTCGAAGACCATATAGGAGGTGCTTATGAAGATGTCACCAAGAATCCATAAAGGACCTCAATTGCTGGGTGACGCTTCAAGTGTACAGTGATTGGTGTTCCAAAACGTCCATGGTTTGGAAACGGAATGAGCAAGTACCATCGTCATACTGGAAAACAGTTCTGAAACGTATTTACCAACAATTTGTGGTATCTGCATTTCTAGATACTCGAACTCGGGATTCGGTCTAAAACACCATCGACAATCAGCCAACTTTAACAGCTGTCTGACATTGAGTAGTTCTGAAGCGACCGTCACTTTGGTTATTGAGCTTCGTCATGTATGCAAACGGCTCTAGTCAGCGATACATCAGGGAGGAGCTACTGGCGGATACAAGTAACCTGAGTTTAGACGAGACTCAGCAGAGGTGGCTCCCTTGAGGATTTCAGTCGTTTTGATCATCTGAAGTCTGAAGGTAGCTGATCCGATCCGTAACTGTTTCTTTCAGATCAACTCTGACCGAAGTTAAGCAACAGAAACTGGAGACCAGTTTCTGTTGCTTAACGTCGACATACTCTCCCGTGTCTTCCATTCTTTATATGCGTGATTTTCTCGAGAGCGGCAGTGAAAAGTTTGGGCCAGATGATACTGCCCCATCGAACTCCTCTTCACAGTCACTACTACATAATCAGTTGGAGTTACGTTGTCATATTGATCACTTTTTTGTCTCTGACCAGCCTTCTAGCACTAGCTAAGGTTCGCACTCAATACCCTCTCGGACTTTGCTCCTTTGATGGTATGGAACTATAAGCAGAAAGTTTAAAGTTCGTAGAACTGTGATGAAGTGGTGCTCACTGGATAGACAAGCGATACACTGACATTTTGTTACTTTGGTGGTCCATCAGCAAGAGGTCTTCGCAGCTGATCTCAGCTCTTCCATACCGCCCGATTGTTCGCTACTTGCGTCCAATGTAGGCCGCTTTTTGAAATATTTGGAGAACTAACTGGCTCAACGAGCCGGCTAACGTCCTAACCGTTTTGGTTTGTTTTTCGGAAGCACTCTGTGACTCGGAGTTTCCGTCTGTTCGACAAAGTCGATGACCAGCCCAGCAGTGCTTCAAGTGCACCTTGCATTGAAACGTGACCTTCACAAGCGACCACCACCTCAGGTCTGAACTTAGCAAGCCTTGTTGCCACTGCTGGCGTCGGCTGATCTTCAGAAAACTTCTTCTGAAAAACTTTAGGAAAGAAAGCGATATGCCTGCTATCGTGGTACTTCCGCACAACCTCAGTAATATGCACTTCTAAGCGTACAATGATTTATTCAGCTTCGAACGGGAAAACACGTCTTCAAGCCTATTCAAACATTACACATAGTTAGCGAGCTTTTCGAGTTACACTGATATTGTTAGCTTCTTAATAGATAACAAGTGATAATTAATGGTTATCTTTAATGCTGTAGAAAGATTAATCTGCTGAGTAAAAGTCAGGAATAGGGATTATTTATCAATGGAATCACGCGGCGAGTGGTCAGAGAGGCCGAGGCATCCTACGACGAATTCCCTGGCCTACCGTAGCAGACTACGACAAAGTCAAGCAGACATATAGATTACGCCACATTATCAGATGTCCAATTTCTCAACCCAACTCAAAAAGTCTATCAACTGCGTAGTTTTATTCATTAAACATTGCTACAGCACACCGGGAAATTGGTACAAGTGTTACCTCTGCTGGCCTCTTCTTGCCCCTGCGTCTCTAGCCACTCGCCGAATGATCTAGATATTAAATTACCTACTATCAAGGTCCCACTCAAGATTAGCATTATGAAGGTAGGAGAATCTAGGACTGCACCGGTGTGGCTTCTTTGTGTGCCGAGAAAGGAAGGCACAGACAAAGAGAGGATAGCAATCCTGTCGGCTGGGAAGGTGACCCATTTCTGTCTCTAGTTCTGGCCTTGGATTTTCGTCGCCTCTGTTTTTCTCGTCGCTTCTGCTTCCCTCGATGTCTCTCTTGTCTTCCTTGCTGCTTCAATTTAGACTTTCCTTGGCGTTGTCGCTGCTGCGCTGGAGGTTGTGAAGATTTATGTGCAGGCTTCGGCTTCGTACCATCCTTTTTCGCCCGTGCAGCATCAGAAATCTTCAGAGTTTTAGGTCTGTTGGGCTGGCCAGATTGTGGATTCGCTACTCCACTCATTTCGACAGCAACTTCGGTTCCCTGGTCTTGAGGTTGTGGCACTTGTCCATAGGTGGATCTAACCGTAACATCTTCATCCAAAGACGACATTGTCTTGTCCACAAACGGATGCGTAAATATGGCAGTCTTCAGGTCGTCACTCTCGTCGGGTAAGGCAAATGGTGCCGGCGTGACACTCAAGTTTGGCCCCCATTCCAGCACTACTGGCCTGAAATATTGAACTGTGGGGTGTGGAATATTTTCAGTACCATAAATAATTGCTTGAGGGCCGACCAACCCTTTACTAACAGAACCTATTGCATCTCGTAACATTTGTCCTACTCTTTGATAATCAAATTCATCAGGACTGCCTTGTCTTTGTACAAGTTCAAAGATTGCTTTCACATAAGATAGATCAGGAATTTGGTGTTTCCCTGTAAACGAAACCATCAATTCGAATAGGTACCGGACCTGAGTCCCAAAGTATAATGCACCAAACATCCTTCATTCGCAGCACGACCCGGGTATCGAGAGGAAACAGCAAAACCTACCATTACTTTGGCTTCAAGAATAGAAGCTCGATGTCGACTACTAAGGAAAAGAAAGTAATGAAAAAGTCGCTCAGCTTCTCGAATGTTTTGCAGTTTACGTATGGGGCCCAACTTCTGAGCATAACGAACTTAAAGAACCTGATCAACCATACCCTGATTTGGCAGATGAGTTCCATCTAAGGTAGTGCCACTTTCTTCCTCTGGTTTGAAAAAAGGTTTATATTTACTTATGATACCCCTCCCAGTAAAACAATTGTATAGCGAATTTTTGACGACTACCCTTTCCCATTATGTATCTGTTCGAGTTAGGTCATTCCTACTTCCCAAAGTTCCGTACCGATGTTGAACTCGACAACATTCTGTGTTGCCACTGCTCTGTCAATTTCAGTAACAAGGACATTTGTGCTGTGGTTGTGGCAGAAGTAGCAAGAGGTTCAAACTCTCTATTTGGGTTGACAAACATGAGGGAGGTCCAGGATGAGAACAGCCTTCTTCTCAAGCTCGATTTCGTGCCTACCTTCCCAGAAACTCTCTTTCGCCTGTTCAACAGCCTTTTCATCGTACATTTTTGACCAAGGTAATGCATGTAGAACAAGTCTGAAAATCGCAATAAGAGTGAAACAACAAAACGATCCATTGAGAGGATGTTCTCACAGATCGATTAAAACGTAGAACCACGATTCGATATCCCCTTTCGGACGTGCAGCTTCACGCTTATGAGCGTCTAGACTCCAATATGGCAAGGTGTAGCCATCGGGTGTACCGTACCTAAAGAAATCCACGTTTCAAAGGAAACTGTGGTCCCAACTCAAAGGGATTATGTCCCAAAAAGTTCTAGTTCCTTCCCGAAGGAGTTATGTTCCTTTTTCCTGAGCAGTAATGTTCAGAAGTCGTGCTGTACTGTATTGGCCAAATCAAGGATCGATGAAAGGAAAATTCAAGACTTGAGATGCCTTTAGGGTAATATGCAAGAAGAGTAATTTCATGTTCGGTTTTATATTCTCGTGAAAGGCGATGGAACGTCAGCATTGATCGATGTATTAAGTGGCCGATAGACCGATGACTCGAGCGAAGACTTCACACATTTGATACCGTCGAACGTGCCCACTTAATTCGGCTTTTCATAGATTAGCTGATTACCAGTTTGACTTTGGTTCCTCAGTAGTTTGCGTTGCGTATTGAAGAAGAACAAGCATGTTAGAGTGCCTTAGAGCAGTCAAATCAGGCATAAGTCGCAGGAATCATTCACCACTTACTAGTTAGTACCAAGGCCAATGCGATCATCGCCTATCGCTTTCTGCCCATCGCGGAGTGTGAACGTAGTAATCGCTTATGTGGCCCTGTTGGATATGTAGTCGCTTCTTGAGGATACCTAATTTAATATGCTCGCAATGTCATACATGTGTGGTTCTCAACGTAAAAAGCTAACTTTTCATGCAAGATTCATAGCTGGTAGATTCGGATGGTCCGCAGAGGGATTTTTGAGAATCATTTGTTTCGGTTCAGAAATCCATCTTCAAAAAGCCCTCCCTCCACTTTTACCGTGGCAGCTGACCAATTCTAAACTCATTCACGAAGAGGAGATTCAATCTCTCAACTTGTGATGCTGATCAGGTACTGATTCGGACAGCCCTACAACCTTGGGTTGAGGCAGTTTGCTTGGTTGATGAGATTTTAACTATTGCTTAATGAGGGGTAGCAGGCGATGGACGTAAGAGTGTCTAGGTTCGTCGGTTTCTGGATCTGCCGTCAACACTCGAGCATTCCTCCGTGTCTTACTTATGGAGGAAACCTTCGAGGTGATGAAACAGGCGTCAACTCAGTAGCTAGGACTTATCTAGAAACCTAGACTAGGATATACATTATCGATGTTGTTGAGCCAGTCTGAGCGGTCATACTGTAGGTAGTCATAGAATCACCTGGTCTTTTTGCCCTTCTTCACTGTATCACCGTAATCGATCAGGTAAATTCTTCTCATGAAGTCGCCGGTACCGATGCATAGATTCGTTGGTTTAATATCGCGATGAATATATCCCATACAGTGGAGAAACTGTAATTGCAAATCAATCAATACGGGAACTCAATCGCTGCAGCGTCAATCGACGATCCTTTAAATTTCTAGATCACACCCATGAACGAATTAGTGGCCGGTAGGGAACCTGCTGGGTGAAACCGATCTAGGAAACCAGTGATTCATGCCAGTACTCCCCCAAAACCCCTCCTCCCCTCCTCGCACAAAACCCCTCCTCCCCCCTCCTTCCCCCTTNCCTTCCCCCCCACCTGCTACGCTTGGGTCTGGGTCACGCATTCCGTTTGACTCGCTTGCATCTAATCTATGAGGTCTAAATCTTGTCGTGGGCTCGGAAAAAGGCTGGTCTATGAAAGGAAAGAGGATGATCCGCAGTGGACGAGCTTCCTAGCCTAGTTCGAAAGGCATGCTATGTTATAGGTAGGATGTTCTGCCTCGATTTATGCTCAATCCCGTATTCATGAATTCCGGGCGCAATGAGTGCCATTTATATCACCAGGTCGCAAGCGCTTTTTTCTTCACGCCCAGTCGTGTGAACTCGAAATTTCTTTTGGCAATTTTTCCCACACGCTTGCTCGATCTCAATTTTCTGAAAGTACCCTATTTGCTCAGCTTTCTGCAGTCTATTCAACATCGTTGATGATGTCTCGATAACTTTTTTTGCTTGTAGTTCCTTTGCTACAAAATCTGGACCAACCGATATAGCTGCTAAAGCTTCATGAGCTACATATAAAGCTGTGGCTGTTTTGAACGTAACTACTTGTTCACGAACTTTTTCGATATTGCGATCCAGGAGATTCATCACTGAAATGTAGGCATTAGAAAGATTGGGTGAGGTCTAGGAATTATTTAGCGTCCCCTTACCCTACTCAACTGAAACTCGATGACTTCGCTGGCATTAAACTAGGTACCCTTGATATGTTTCTTGGTTAGTGGCGAATTTTTGAGCCTACATACACTGGTGGAGAAAAGATGGAAGTGTTCAGTGTATCTGTCGCTAAGTTGCCACAGCGCTCGGCGTATATTTTGTCTGCTTATGGCATCTCGAGAAAAAGCAGCTATTTCATCGCTCTTTACCGTCCATGAATAATCTGAGGCTGATAACCGAAGTTCAAGGACTCAGAGGCTCTGCTCGGGCAGCTTAACTTGACCGCAAGGTGGCCTCTGAGTATCTCTGTCTCATGGAGTGCCCTCACACTAAACCGCAGTTATGAGCGAATCTGGGTTCTACTAGTGTGAGAGTACCACATAGCGACGAACTCCTATAAGAGTCGTGCCAATGTGTCTGCAGGAGAAGACCTTGTGGATGATCGAGCTCATAGTTCGGCCATACCGAATCGATGAATGCTGTAATGATCGGGAAATGAGTTCGCCCATTTCCCAACCACACCTTCAGCTCATAAAATAGGACGCTTCATTCGAATGCAATTGGTTTTTTAGAAACTCGAGCTTGGTCTTCACAGCTCGCACCTTCACAGCTCTAGAACAGAGTATTTCTGACCGATCAGTAATACTAGGTGCCGGAAACTGAGTGAAACTTCTCGGTCGCCGTCCTTTACGTCCTTATACGAGTCGCTGCCATACCATCTTGAAGTGTTCTCGAATTAGAGTGGAGTTGATCAGTTCGAATTCTCGATCAATCGTTCCTTGTCCGTAGTCTATCGCTGAAGGATCGCTGAAATACTGCCAACCATGGCTATTCAAAAACTTACTTCAGGGCGGGGCAGCCTAGAATCGAACAACATGCGGCAGAAAGGGAACATTCGCATGGGGTGAGGTTTATTCAGGTTCACGATGGGTAGCACCGCCTTCCGGTGAACCGTACCGTCGGGTTCTGCAGCTCTTCGTTCACTCTGCCATGCGACCCTTGGACCAACGGCATGAGCGAATGGTGAAATGCTGTTCTGAGTAATCAGGCGAGAAGCCAAAGAAAAGTGGTAAAGTGTTGCCAAGGTTGCCCTCAAGACATGTGGGTGGTAGGTATTGATCATTATCCAATTACATCTCAATTCCCATAGGATACGAGTAGTGATTGGATGTCTCCAGCTATAGTCCTGTCTGCTGCCTACGTGCAAACTTGAGCCATCTGCGACGATTATAATTCAGTTCCTCTAATGAAGGCTCAGAAGAGTCAGGAGCTTCCTTTTCCTCCGATACCGGCGTCTTTAAAAAGCCTCCATTTTTGACAATACGTATATTTACCTATAAAAGGTAAGTCTGCTACTCGTCCACTGTCGAGAGCAATGGGGCTGTACGGGCATCTGTTTCTCCTGAGCTCTTGCAGAATTCGGAGTTCACGCTGGAAAATTGTTCATTAAAGCAAAATTTTCTGGAAATTGGGAATGATCAGTATTAAACAGAAAATACTTTACCAGAAAAAAACTCCGGTATAAACAGACCTTCATCCTTACGGTAATGTTCACGCTGTATGGCCGAATACCTGTTTTCATAGCGAAGAGAGCGTTCTTTTCACTTGGCTCATTACTTAATAGTATTTTATCAGTAATGTAATTGCCATCCAAAGATTAGCCACTCCTTACTCGACGCAAACTTGTCGTGATATCAAATAAAGGGCAGTGTAGCGTCCTTCGTTGTACTTCAGTTGGACTTCATAGCGGTTAAATTTACGATTCAATTCATCGAGACTGGAATTTGCTGCTCAAAAGATCTGGAGTAGGTACAGATGTTGGACAGTGGATAGTCACCCGACTACCACACATATAGCTCAATTACGAGAAGTTAGTTCTCGCTCAAGAAATTTCGTTTCATAGACCGAGAGATCGATATCGAACCGTTCCGTGCGTAGGGTAACTTGCCACAGAAACTCTCCTTATGGACCGAACGGATTACCTTTTTCGGCAGCCATTGGGAGGAGGGGATGGTGGGACAGCCCTTTGTTCCTCTCCGATCTTCCTAACTCCGCTTGGGATGAAGTGGCTTTCTACGTCTTCCCACTAGGTGTGGCGTCAATAGCGAAGAATGAGTAGCGAGAAAGCTGCAGAGAGGTCTTCTAGCAGCACCCTCACCTGGATTTGAAGTTTCAGACGAGCAGGGAAACTAAAGCAAGGTTGCATAAACAGGCCAAATTAGCGGCTGCCGACACATGTAATGCATTCGGAAGAAAAAGATCTTTACTCCCAATTTTGGTTGTTGGTATTTGTCGCACGTGGCATGCCGATACGTGCAATCTACTGAGCTCATCATATCGTAGCTTCTGCCCAACTCAAAACAGATGACCGAAAGCACAACGAGGAAAAGAACTTACTTGTCATCAGTGATTATAAGGTCACCTATTTGTAAATCACTCTTCCCTCTGATGAACATGTCCATAAGCGCGGCCTCTTCTCGCTTAACCGATAACATTAGCTTTTGAAGGCAGAGATAGTTTTAGGGTATCCAGTTCGAGACCAATAGTGGAGGTGATAATGCAGACGTGCAAAGGTTCCAAAGGGTACCAAAATCAGGTATTGGAGGAGAAGGTGACGACAAAAGTTGCATGGAAGGGGCATTTAAACGAGCTATTTAAATGAATGTGCCATTGCGTACAGCGGGCTACAGTAAACGGCCTGCGGGCAAAGTGTGCGCCCCGGTTGGAACGATGCAAGCTCCACAGTTTCTGCCACGCCATGGGAATAGTACCTCGGCTGAGCAGGTTTTTGTGCTCTTGATATGGACCGTTTTCTGACCCCATGACAACCCTTGTGCTATCCTTGGGGTCACAGATCCATCCTTCACAAAATACTCAGAAACTATTTTCATCATGAACTGTGCCTTTGATTTAATAACTCTCCTCAACATGAATGCAATTTGAGGTGCTTTTTATTAAAATTTTCAAATGAAGATCGCATCCAGTTCAGCTCTGATCTGATCCGCTTCCGATCAAGGTGACCGCTCCTCCAATCAAGTCTCTGTGAAATGGGCCACAACACGCGCGAAAAATCGATATTCATCTCAAAGCACACTCATTCATGAGATCGTGATAAAGGAGAGAGCATCGCCACATCTAGGTCAACGCTTGACTATACATTGAGTTCAAACAGGTAACTTCTACCTCCAAGTTGATTCGCCCGTCTTCTCCAGCTAGGTCCGGCCGTTCTTCTTCGAGAATTCGGGCATTGTACCATGGTGGATGCCTTTTCTGTTTTACTGTAGCTCCAGGAAGCGCCTTATAATTGAGCTGTCCTTATCTCTTTTTCGGTTCTCCGAACCTGAGAAAGTCACCTGCTTCCGTTTCTGGGTGAACACTGGCAGAACATTTTGTCTTGTCGTCTGAGATACTGTAGAATCGCTGTCTGACGAATCGGACTGAATGTTACCATATCATCTGATAAGCTAGGCACGAAGGTCTTTACTTGACTACTTACGCCATTGTTGTCGTGCCTTTTCTTCCTCCTCTGAAATATGGTTTGAAGACGAAGTGGAATTAGCGTGATCGGGAGAATTCATTTTGGGAAAGAAAGAATGGAAGAGAGGGGTCAGATCCGAAATCATGTTTAAGGAGGTTCTCTTGTTTGAAGCATTCATTTCTAGATCATTCCAATAAATTTGCGAGGGTGTCTATAGGCGGATCCTTTCCTTTCAACCAGATCCATGATTCCTAACGAAAAGGGGCCCATTTAAGAAAGGAGCGCAGTGATCCAACAAACTTCATCCAGGTACTCACTACAAAGGCTGATACTGTAAAACGTACCCCCATAGCAGTTGAGAGTAATGACGAGAAATGAGCATTACTTTGTATGAGCCCGCAGTTAGGATGCTCCCCATAAAAACAACTTCAAAGATAGCAGCCTTTGGCAGTAAACAAGTTCAGATGGGTTTGGTTGAGGTGAGTGCAGCGCTCTCACGTAGTTACAGGGTGGCCCACATGAAGTGTGACGGGCAATAAAAAAATCAACTTATGGGCTTCTGGGCTGGAGGAAGCGGTGATCGCTTGGGTGGAAAGGAACGCGATGAACGTCAGCTGAACCTTGCACAAGGTTGGGCACCAGCCCACAACACAAAGGAGATGCTGCAGTGTTGTGAAACCACGCTTCCGGGTTTTTGGGGCGAAGCAGTTTTGACCTTCAAATTCCCCGATCTCAATCCTTTGGATTTTGCTGTATAGTCGATTCTGGAGCAAAAAGCCTGCGCTTTCAAACACAGGTCTAAGGACCTCTAAAAGAAAGTGCTCTTGTAGAAGCGTGGGATGAAAGTGGCTGCGCGCATTCTTGAAAACTTCCGAAAGAGGTTGGATGCTTGCATTAATTCGAAAGATTGTCATTTTGCATGCGAGATGTGATATGGTGTTTACAATTTTGTGATGATTGTGTAGGAGTAATAGTTTCCCATTTGGTTTGATCTGTATAATTTTGATGATAGTTTTCTGCGTCACACTTCATGTGGGTCACCCTATACTTCTACATACTCATGTGTAAGCGCTCAAAAACAGGCAGATCTTGTGTTCTCTGCTGCCGATCTAACTTTTTGTCTGCTCCAACGGACATAACGATGTTACGCACTCAATTACGGGGGATACAATGGCCGAATTTATATAATCTCCTGTAAAAGTTTAGATAACCAGTAAATCAGTCTTTATGCTCATTGAAAGTGGAACAAAGAGTTGATACGAAATTTCTGTCAAATCAAGCACTTCTTGTATTCCAGTTGTAGAAACATAGTGAACTCGAGTACGCTTAGCAGTTCCTAATTGAAGAGGAGTTTAGCACACTTTAAAGTCGTTCTTTTACGGCTTGACTGTCGGAAAAAAGGCTCGTGAGAAGTAATACAGCTTCCTGTATATGTGCATGTAGAGCTATGCTTTTTCTTGGTAATTTTAATGATACTGGGTTTCAAGGTTGTTCATGGTAGCGTACCTCAGTCAAAGTATTTACCAAAGTATTTACGTTCCAATCGACAAGACTCTTCATTTTTTGGTGGCTTGACGAAGTGCTAAAGTTGGCGATTGTTCGAATTGACGTTTTTGTTCATCGATATTTCATCAACACAAGAAATCGAATACAGGAAAAATGTACAAATAAGCGTATTACGACGGTTTACAAGGACGAGCATATTAAATGAGCTCATTGAGGAAGGATGTGGGTAGATGGCTCACCAGTTATGGATGACTTCACAAAACAGAAAAAGTCAAAACGAAAGCAATGAACGAAAACACCTACTAAACGACACACTATCAAAAAATGCTTCGGATTAGTCTTTATAATTTAAAAAAATTACAAGGATATATGACGTATTTTATAAATTTGATGTGAGCAGCAAGAACATTAATACATACCATAACAATGATAAGTAGCAATATCACTCAATATGGCTTTCTTTGGATTTGGCAACTTGCTTGAGGCGAGCCGGATACGCTTCGACTGCTACCGGGTTGACCTTTGGAATTTCATCCTATGCTTTTTGTAAAGCAGCTTTCAAATATCCAATCTAACTCTGCTTCTCAGCGCAGGCCTGTCCGTGACCGACTAAATCGAGTAGTTCATTACGTCCAAAACTAGGGAATTAGCGGGCCAGTCTTCTGCTGCTATGAAGACTGAAAAATTGTCACGGCATCACTTTTACATAAAAGCCGATCTATGAGGTGGTCTCCGTCTTGCAGGAAAATGCAGTCGTTCTCAAGAGTTCATTTGACCGCGACGTTCTTCAGAATTCCCTCGAGGTAACTATTGGCATCGGTTAATATCACATCGACGACCTCTTGTGGGAATCCTGGCGGATTCCGTCCCTCTCGATGCTTCCTCGGCAAAGTGAACAGTTTGAACAAGACATTGGAGCGTCCACGAAAAATAAAGTAACAAGCCGAACCTCAACCATAAGCCGTTTGCTTTGAAAGCCAAGTGAACGCCTCCATTTCCACCAGAAAAGCATGTCCTTTTTGAGTGATCCTTCCTGGGTGATGCAAGCCTCGATTTGGCACTTGACGATGTTGTATGATGACCTGTTAACTTTTGATTTGAGTTGTCTTTTGGCGAGGAATCGAAGACCCGTTAGTCGAAATGTTTCTTCTCATTACTGCCGAAGTTTGGCGATTCCATTGGTGATGGCTCAAGACGTACGTGTGCCTTTGCGCGCCTTTCGGCCGGTCTCTCTTGATCGTACCATCATCTATTAACGGTCCTGTGATGAGGTGTTCTCCGTCATAATTCCTCGAGGTAGTTATTGGCACCGGCTAAAATCACATCGCTAACAGTCCCCCAGTTTCTCTCCGATTGTCACAGCAAAAAGATCAATCAATGGGACAAACATCAATTTAACTTCGAAAAAATCTTATCATAAGAAACTACCTGAGATTGATGGAAGAGCAGTGCCTAGAGACTGAGTTGTCATGCCCTCTAACCTGAACTCGTTTCCCCTGTTGGAACCCGCCCAGCTCTGAAGGATTGTCTTCCCAAAGGGATCAAATGATTGACGCCCCACTTCTGAAAAAAAAA